TGTCACAAAATTAAAACTAAAAGGACTGTTGATGTAGCTCTGTGGTAAAGTACCCCTGCGTTAAACCCCCTATATAAAAGGAAAAAAGTTGCTGTTCCCATGTAGTTTACATTTCAGTGGAAGGAAGSAAAGAATAAAGAAGTAAAGGGTGGATGGAAGCAAAAATAAAGAAGTAAACAGAGGACTCTGGATGTGGCTCAAATGGTAGCGTGCTCGTCTGGCATGCATAAGGCACTGCGTTCGATCCTCAGCACCACATTAAAAAAAAAAAAATAATGATATTGTGTCCACCTAAAACTAAAAAATAAATTAAAAAAAAAAAAAGAAGAAGAAGAAGTAAACAGAGACAGGTCTGGAGACATAGTTCAGTGGTCGAGTGCTTGCCTGACATACTCAAAGCTGTAAGTTGAATCCCCAATACTAGAGAGGGAAAAAAAACTGAAAAATTAAAGTAGGTAATATTGATAATGATAAAGGCTCTTAAGACTCTAAAACACAATTATGCTCCAGAATCTATGAATACAAAATATTTGAGTTGCCATGTGAATAATGAGGTATGTCCACCTTGTGAGTTTTCAAGATAGAGCATTCCAGAAAAGAAATAGCAGACCAAGATAAGCTTATGGCACACTGAAGAAAAAGAGATTTTCAAATGAAGACCTACTACAACAATATGTAATTGTTTAAATTTTGCCTAATTTTTATTTCATAAAATAGTTATATTAGTAGATTTCTCTTCTTCCCTTCCAGCATTTCTAATCACATTGCCTAAACAAGTACTCTAGCCACGCAGGTGGTACACACCTGTAATCCCAGTGATTCTGGAGGCTGAGATAGAGGATCACAAGTTCAAGGCCAGCTCAGTAACTCAGCAAGGCCCTAAACAACTTAGTAAGATCCTGTCTCAAAATAAAAAATAAAAAGGACTGGGGGGCTGAGGCTGTAGCTTAGTGGCAGAGCTCTGGCCTACTTGGCGTGAGKCACTGGGTTCAATCCTCAGCACCACATAAAAATAAATAATGGGCTGGGGTTGTGGCTCAGCGGTAGAGCACCTGCCTAGCATGTTTGAGGCCCTGAGTTCGATCCTTGGCACCACATAAAAATATATAAATAAAATAAAGGTATTGTGTCCAACTGCAACTAAAAAATATTTAAAAATAAAAATAAATAAAATAAAGGTATTCTGTCCATCTACAACTTCCAAAAAAAAAAAAAAAAAAGGAATGGGGATGTGGCTTAGTGATTAACCTTCCTGGGGTTTAACCCCTGATAACAAAACAAACAACAACAACAACAACAAAAACCTAGAGACAGCAATAATAGGGAACGCTTGTCTCAGTTCCTTGATGTCTGGTGTCTCAGACAACTGGCAACAAGAAGTAATTTGACTGAAGCCATATAT